TAGGAGTCTAAATATGAACCATAAAAGGGAACTACTTAGGAGCCTGTGGGTAGGGTTTAAGGGTGTAGAGGTTTAAGGGTTTAGGCGTTTAAGGGTTTAGAGGTTGACCCTAAACCCTAAACCCTAAACCGCGGTTTAAGGGCCAAGGGTTCAGAGGTTTGAGGGTTTAGGGCCTCGCGCAGTCTTCTCGTCCAACTCCGCAGCCTGAAAGAGCTGTGCCTTCCAAGGGGCCATATGTGCGTTTTTCCAGTACTCAGGCACCGATGATGTAGTGGTTAGTCATTTCAGTACTTTTTTTATAGTATAGGTGATATAGCATATGCTATATAGCATAGTACAGAATATAGTACATAGTATGGTAGTATGGTGTGGTGTAGCGCCTGTTCACCCTCTTCAAAACTTCGAAGACCCGAAGCCACTGCCCCTAAACCCGGAAACGCCCTATCTGGACACCAGAAAGTATGTAGCATATGTCACCTAGTTTTAGGTGCTTTAATAGAAACTTGAACCCGAATTGCTGGCCTCCAAGAATTGTCCGTCCACCACGAGGTTCGCCAGGAAGTCGAGATTTTGAGACACGGAACGCCACGTCCGTAGCAAAAACACCACGTGATCCTCCGCAAGTTTAGACGGCTTGGTTTCAATTACTCTGTACATGTAGTTTTGGCCCCGTCGCCTCTAAGAAAGCTCTCTCTCTCTCTCTCTCTGTCTCTCGCTCTCTACATGCATGCCCGATGACGGCAACGATCACTGCGTGAATTCTCGCGCAGATTTTAGGCAAACCCTAAACCCCCGATCCTGCTCTTTGAGTCGCATCTCAGCCATCTGGCGACCGACATCCACAACGTTCGCACCACAGTCCCCGACGGGAGGGAGGAGCTGCGCCAACGCATCCTCATGCAGGGGCTGGGGATTTAGAGTGTTTTTTGTTGACACCTCTTTTCAACCCGCCTGGTTATGAGGTTGGAATGCCATGATGGCTGAGTTTCAGGGTTCGGGTCTTCGAATGCAAAAGCCCTTCTGCAATCGGCGCGTTTCTTAAGATCCGGGTGCCTTACTAAGGAGTCCTTACAACAAGCACGCGACGACTTGGATTAACATCCCGCATTTTCTCAAAATCATGTCGGCACCTGTCCTTGTGCGCGGTCACAAAGGCCCTGGCCTTCTGGACATACTCGCTAACGTCGCGGTGGATCAGCATCATCAAATTCTCGGGGCCAAGGGATAAGCACATGGATCTGCCTAGTAGCTTAGGTCTAGCGGACCCTGTGGAGGCAGAAACCAGTCTCAATCGAGCCCAATTTTTCGGGTGCCTGGTACCGCTCTGCCCTGTCTGCACTGTTGCCCGTGAGTTCACCGCCCTGGCTGGTTTTAGGACTGAGGCCGAACTGGACGAGGCTGGAGGACAAGGTCGCCACCAGCAAAGCCTGCTTGCGGAAGCGGCGCAAGGCAGGCTGAAGGCTCTTCGTCGTCCGGCGATGAAAAGTTTCCTTGAAGGTCTCCGGAGGCAGCCCGGACAGCTCGTGTCGGTAGTGGCGCAAGACCCGTGCTGTGGACCGCAGGTTGGACACGTTCACAAGGGAAGCTCTCTCATCCTCCCCGAAGGCCCCCTGTTTACGTGGCTCCTTTTGCATGGTCTCCTTGAGGCCACGAAGCTCCGAGAGGAGGCCGGAGACCAAGGGAAGCAGCTTCTGCTCGTCTCGGAAGACCTCAGGTCCCACCTTTCCGTGCAAAGCCTCCATGAGCTGCCCCACCTCGCCGTGCACCGTCACGAGATGTGCATAGGCTTCCTGGGCCTGCATCGACACCTTGGGGACACTGGATGCGGCCAAGACAGAAGTGGGTGGCGTCCAGCCGCCATCGTCCTTACGGACGACAAGAACCCTACAAGGAGTTTAAGGCTCAGACACCATATTTATAAGCTTTCATTATCATTAATTAATTGTAAGGGTACACGGCCCTTCCTGTATCCCCAAACCCCACAAGAATCGTAGGTTATTTCCCCCACCCTTAGTTATAGGGTGTAACCCTAAGGGCTTCTGGGGTCTCCTTTGGTACTTATACGGGCCATCTGGTCCCTAGGGCCCTAGGGGTCCTCTGCGAAGATCGGCCGGTCCGCCAGCCACTTCCCCAGGCTGATCAGGTTGTCGTTCATGGTCTTCCTAGGTTGCCCACTGGCTTTTTCAGGGTACTATAGGGTTCTATGATAAGTGATAGGGTTCCTTTTTAGGGCTCCTTTGAGGGTTCATCCCCCTGAATAATTATGGTACCCTTTTCCTATTATGTGGTCTTAAGAAGGGAGCCCCAAAGAAAAAGGGCAAAAGGGCACTACTCGGGAACCTAGTTTCAGGTGCCCTTGCAGAGCATTGAGAGGGTCAACCACGTTGTTGTCGAAGCGGCTGTTGATGTCGACTCCTAGCTGGTCAATCTGCGTGTTCAGCTGACCGGCATAGTCCGTCTGCATGGTAGCCAGCTGCTCAAAGTAAGCCTTTTGAATCCTCTCTTGCTCTTTGGTGTTATGAGTGCTTTGGTCTTGCGTCTCCTTCAATTTGTCGAACAACTCTGTGGTGTACCACTTGAGCATGTCATGCAGCGTGCTGATGACATGGGTCTCTTGCGTCTTCATGGACCGAAGCACAGCCGCGTTGCCCTTCAGCACCTGGGGTAGTTCTCGAAGTTAGGGGGCTCCCCATTCTTCGCGTTCTTTTAGGATCTATAAAGCGGTTCTATCAGGGTACTTATAGAAGGGTAGTTCCCTATAGCGGGACCCTGATTTAGAGAACTATCCACCTCATCCTCGATGCAATGGAGATCACAGAACGCCTCGTCAGGCACGAGAAGGACAGGCACAGCATTGCATCTCTTATCAGCCCTGGGGAATGCACCTTGTACATGGCTCCATCCGTGTAGTCCGCACATCCGTCCAGAGCCTCGGAAAAAGAGAAACAAAGGAGTCTGCGTGGAACTGGCGCCATGCTGCACTCGACTGTCCGATCAGCCGGCCTCGTTTTCGCCATAGTAGCCCTGCCAAGCAGTCCAGTAACTGTTGAAGCCGAAGTTGATGCCCTCGCTGATGCCCTCCACCACACTTGAGCAAATGTCTCCGAACCTTGCAAGGAAGCCCACGCCCATCCCCAAGGGCGCAGTGAGCCCCTCCACATCTGGGATCACCTGGTAACCAACACATGCCACAGGCCACTACTCGAGTAGTTGTTGCTACAAGCTCTGCACAAAAGCCACGACTTGCAGCCGAAGCACTGCACATATTGCAGAGGCGGTCGTTGCTGCCAGGTCCAGATAGAGTTGTCGCGAGTCCTCGAACCGGTCAGGCAGCAGTGGAAAAGACAACGAGCCCTGCCCAAGGGGTCCTATGTACTGTTATGGGGGATACCTCCCTAAATCATAACAGTAATTCCTAATATAGAAGCCCTACATTCTACTATATAGGTACATAGGACCCTTTGGGACATGAAGAATCACAGAGATTAGTAAGCAAGGCTATATGTACCGCATTCGGGGTTAAATTATGACCCCACCCTAAAGTCTAAAACTCAAACTCTAGTTACGAACCCCCTTGCTATCCTTTGGTATAAGCAGGACCAAGCTTCATGCTCCATCTCCTTCTGCGCCAACTCCGTTGCCCGGACACTGCGCCTGGAAAAGATACGGAAAGAGCCTTGGGTTTGGAGTTGAGGGTTGAGGGTCTACAGTTTCGTGTTTAGGGGTTTAGGGTTTAGGGGTTTAGTGTTACGTGTGTCCACCGACCTCGTGGCGCATTTCTCCAAAGCTTCTGGCGCGCTGCCAAAGATCGTCTCACCCGAGGAACTGCTGTCAGCGGCACTCACAGCGGTCATGGCCTTTTCTATGGGGTCAGCTTCGAGCAAGTCCCTGTCGATTCCTGCAGGGTGTCGGGCTTAGGGTTCTATGTAAATGTACCTCAAGAGAACTCTACGGGTCCAAGTACCTGATAATCATATGCTCTCCCAAATATTAACCTAGATATCTACTATCCGCAACTAAAGTACCTTATTATTGGGTCCTTTGGACCCTTAGGGGAAGGGGGCCGAATGCCGCCTGCGTAGATGTCGATCTCTTCTTCCTCTTCGCCTTCCTCGTCTCCTGAGCCGACAGTGCAGGGCATCAAAGTTTGGAAAAAGTAAGCTCTACCCAACATATATATGTATATATATATATATGTATGTATACACATCTGTATATAAATATATGAATAATTACATGAATAAATGAAACATTAAATAAATAAAAGTATATATACATGTATATATATATAAACATGCACACACACATATACATATATATATACACAGATAGATGCACACACATACGTACATACATACATACATACATCCATCCATCGATGCATGCATGCATGCATACATACGTACATATATATATATGTATATGTATATATATACATAATATATATATATATGTGTGTGTATACATACATACATGCATACATACATACATACATACATACATACACACACATACATACATACATACATACATACATACATACATACATACATACATACTTGGATGATCGCGCGGGGTT